AAAATCGTTTTTTTTAGTATGTTCCATTATTCACAATTCTACAAAATTTTAACAGTCTATAGCCAAGACTGTTTGGATAATAAAAAGCAAAAAGAAAATTTCACTCCCAAGTGCCAACAAACCTGCATCTCTACCTTAAGTTGTTTTTGTTTGTGTGGAGACACCAGAGAGCATAGAGTATAAGTGTTTACCAAGAGTTTGCAATTATATGAATTACATATTATTCTAGGCTATTATTGACTACAGCCCGTCCTCCTTTAATTGTCCCACTCTATAAATAACCAAATCATGAAGTAGACACGTACATACGCTCAGATGTTCAATACTACGTATATCTCATTGAAACGAGTGTTGTTTATTATTATGGTAACGGTCGTTAAGGACACCGTCCATTAATTCATTCATTCATTTCACCACACTAGCTTACGGCAATTCAACATGGCGGCGTTGTGTGTGTCGCCGTGCCCCGCTTTTAATATGTGATCACACGGTGCGTAGAAGATATTAACTCGCATCAATGGGTTGTGGTTTGAGTAATCAGGTCGGTGATCGGCTAGGCGGTAGCCCGGGAGGGACGTTGTCACCGAAGAGAATTAATCCTGGATATACGCATAATGTAGCGGTACCTAGGTACGTGTATACACTTAGTATTCCTGTTGTTACGCTAATCGACATATTGAGGGTGCCCTTGCGTAACCTTGATATGGGGTTATAGAGAGTAGTCGCCCGTGACCTAACAGTTCATGAGTGTTCACCACACATGCAGTACCTGTAAGTCTGTACGCAGTGTTGACATCTGGTGGGGTTCAATAATCGTAAGGCATTCTCGTAAGATAGTATTTGCACAAATATTCGTTACATGTTGAATATCCCGTAGCATATCCAAGATATAATAAACGCCCAGTTATGTACACCAGTCACATATATCTGCATATTTACCTGAATCTGAAATACAAGCGGAACGTGTAAGGCTAAAGACTGCATTGACTGACATTTTTTGAATGCAAGGTGGCAAACGAAAGTCGAATATTTACATCACTGTGATGGCGCACTAAAAGTTGTCACACACATGACAAAGGCTGTATGTCGGACATTGATAAGCAATGTTCGTAATCGAAATTTGTTTCGTACGTGTATAACATATCCGTTTGTTGATTTGATGAAATATAAGTATATATTGCAAATTACGCTGTACGGGCTAATGTATATATATATATACTGCACTGTTTTTGTGACGTACTAGTCCTATGTGACGCAGCGTCATTGCACTAATGTGTGGATTTTGTACAAAGGTATGGTATTCACGTGTTCTTTCTTACGTTGCAGTGAGGCACAGAGGAAAACCTTAGACGCCATCTTAGCAGGTGATATGGAAATAGCATGTCCATCGAATGCAAAAATTGTACGCATCTTCACAAGTTCCACATTTACAGGTGGGAGCCCGATTGTTATTATAAATTCAACGGATAGTCGGTACTAATGCACTACAAATATGTATATATATGTATAAGTTTTTTCTGTGTCATACTTTATGTTTCAGATACTCAGCACGAACGCAACGCTTTGATGGAAAAGGTTTACCCAAAACTGAAGGCTTTTTGCCAGGAACGAGGATACGAATTCCAAGTGGTTGACATGAGATGGGGAGTACGGGACGAAGCTACAGATGATCACATGGCCACTGAGTTATGTTTGAAAGAAGTATTGGATTGCAAAAAGGTGTCTACTGGTCCAAACTTTGTGGTAAGTAGGTCACACTGAGAAAATAGAACTTAGACGCGAATATCCGGCGAAATCTCGTTGAGGGTGAGACAGTCGCGAGACTTACGTTTGCCCATTTAATCGTTCTATTCTTTCCAGTCATCGCGTATATTAAACACCACGGTTACATAGGTCAAGGGACCAGTGAACGCTGTGACGGAGGAGTGTGGGTCAATATTCGCTGACTATCTGAGAAGCAAAACCAAGTCTCGTGACTGATTCTCGCTCCGAACCTGACGAGATATCGGCAACCATTTGCGTCTGATGTCGTGAATTGTGTTTTTAACAACATACTTAAAGCGGGAGGGTCGTCACCTGCACACGCGCGGAAATTGAGTTTCAAGCGATGATAACAACACACGCTAAGAACGCAAAGGCTCATGGGTAGGAGCTTATTTGAAAACAAAGACCATCTATGGCCACGTGACGCATGCGTAGGTGACAACTCCCCCGCTTTAAGAATGATTCTGCTTTTGTTGGAATATAAATAACAGAAACAATTAGTTAATTACATTATTTATAAATTCTGTGTATTTCTCGGTAAAAAATATCCCATCTGCCACCGTGTTTTCGCAGACGTTTCTTTCACACAAATATGGATATAGGCCGATGCCTCGAATGATAGCAATTGACGAGTTAGACAACGTTGTTATAAAAGTGAATGAAGATGAACGGTCACTCATAGAAAGGTGCGTACGTTTCAGGTATTCATTTTAGAAACTCTACCGGTATTTACGTGTACCAGTGTCAACGATGTGTTATAGTATACCAGGAAAAATGTCATGGTTAATGACGTACTAATTTTTGCAGATGGTACAAAAAAGATACAAATCATGTCCCGTCAATGTATGTAATGCAGCCGGTCAGTCGTATCATCCCAGACTTTATAACGGGGGATCAAAAGAGAAATGAAGAAGCGAAGTCACAATGGTGGAATGTGATGCAGAAATTACGACAAATATTTATGAGAAACGTTGATGGTGCACTCAAAGATAAATACAGATTTTCTGGTGGGTGTGTGTACTGAGTGAATGTATTTCAGTTCGCTCTATTCATTACGTGAGTTTTGTTTGCTTATCCTTATATGATCTGCTTTTCTGTAAATAAAGACAATACAGTTACGGAAATATTGCATTCCTAGTCACGTGACAGCCCGACGGAGACACTTTCATTTGACGACTGCCTTCGGCCGGGTATAGTGAAATGCATTCTGGGACAACGACCTAGAGCAGTTATAAACACGCAAAATGTTGAGCTGTTGTTCAATTGAATATATTTTCTCGTACAAAAGACTTGCTTCAGTTGGGCTGATTGACACCAATGTGATCACGAAATAGTGGTGTTTTACCGGATTTCCCATTAATAACACACTTTCATTGAACTCTTGTGTAACACTTGTGTGTTTTAACAGTGACATATGTATATTAGTTTATAAGTTTTATATTCTACAGTTACGGAGAACGAGATTTGTCGCGGAATTCTGGAATCTAGTGACGCAGCACAGTCGACTATATGGTATCACCGTGTATTCCATCACATTACTATGGACAGAGACAATCCCCAGTTGAGCCGACATGTCGATACTATGGAAGACGATTCGTCAGTCTTGTTAAATTCCCTGAAGAACAAACTTGCAAACGTTTTGCCAGATAGAAACATACAAACGTACAATTTGAAATGGAGCAAAAAAGGTAAATACAGTTGCTATGTCCATGTCTGTGCTTGTCTCCGCGTGTGTGTGTGTCTGTCGCTTAGTTTATTCACTATTTTTTGTCTGTAGGATTTGACCCTGTAGCAGTCAATGACCACAGAAAATACATCCAGCAGTTCTGTAGTGATTTCGAACATCAAATGCAGGAGTTAGTGGTACAGGCTATTTCTGAACGCGTACACTTCGATTCGCTTGATCCGTTGTACGAAGACATTATTCAACACGTCTCCTTTTGTCAAAATAAATGTGAAGCATTTCAAGGACGGGAAGATACTCTTTCAGTATGTATAGCATATATTATATTTTATAAGTGGGATTCCCCAATGTGTAGCACTACTATTGGTTACTGTCACCATTCTCAAAATACGTAAATTACTACGCATGCGCCCTTTCTAGTTTAGAGTATACAAACCCCAACAAAAAGATAAATAAATAATAAAAAAGAAGTGAATAGGTCAATAAAAGAAGAGAAGACATCGGGACGCGACAGTAGATGAACTGGGCATGATCTCGCCATGTCTTAGAGAGAGAAATAACTCTCCCTCCTACCAGGAGAAACTTTGTTCGATTTCGTCGAACTAGAAGAAGTTATATTACTTATTCAATTTGGTCGAATGGTGTAAATACACGAAATAAAATAAATAGATTATCAACCCGTGTAACAAATCAATGGTACCCACACAGCTACTGTGTATATTGCTTGTAAAGTGCTTAACGATTACTGTTATCATACATTGATGTTCACTACCCATACAATCATAGCTAACAACACATCAGAGGTTAGGTTGCGTAGGTTGTATATAAATTATAATACTAGTACTTGATCTTTTATTAGATAATTGAAAGTTATATAAAGAACAGTGCACACAAACTGCCTTTGGTTATACATGGACCCTCAGGTTCCGGTAAGACGTCCATCGTTGCTATGGCAGCCAAGATGACTCGGAAATGGACGACTGATAATACCGCAATCGTAATAAGATTCTTAGGTACGACTTCTGCAAGCTCCAGTATAAGAAGTGTACTTTACGGTCTTGTCAAACAGATAAACATCATATACAAGTTAGACAATAGGGTGCCAGAGGTGAGATTATTTTATGTTTTTTTCTCTCAATTTGAGTACGCAATATATTGATTTGTAAGCTGTCATTTGTTTTCCCGGAAAACACTATGATCTACATTATGTATAATACTATATCGTGTATCTTGATAGCTATTGATTGAGCGAAAATGTTTTAATACTGTTAATTTCCGACACGTGTAAAATTGAAATAACCCACCATAAATTAATGAACAAAAAAAATTACAGGCAAATATAAAATATTTTCCACTGAATTCAGGATTGCTGATGAAAAGTACATCATCAATATATATCATGGAATTTGAAAAATTTAGCTTTTTCGTACCATTTGTCATTTTTTTATAAATTCAGCTTTATGTAAATAAAAACAATAGGTAATAGACACATTAATATTTTGTGTTTAATTGAAATTGATGTATACACTGCTATGATAGTTGTCAAATCTCTCTTCACAATAAGCACGTAACCACTTATACTTGTTTCAAAACAGGATCTTAAACAGTTAATTCGATCTCTTCGCGAACAATTGACGAACGCTAGCGAGGAGCGTCCACTTGTGATATTCCTGGATTCGTTGGATCAATTAGATACAGGTGATGGGGCCCAACAGTTGGCATGGTTACCAACAGACTTACCCAATAATGTAAAGATAGTATTGTCGACTTTACCAGAAGAAAAGTACGAATATTATCCTAGATTAAAGGTAATTACATTACAATACATTACATCACATTAAACAGCATGGGAAACAGTGTCGGATGTCACGAAGTATCTCCGTTTTAGTGAATCATGACTTTGTTATTATAGTTGAACATGGCGGAAGCGGGCGACAATTGTCCACGATTTGGGGGATGAAAAATTAAAGGTTAATGTGAAATATAAAAAGGCTAGTCGATTGTCAATCTTTAATATTTCTAAAATTTACGAACAATTTGTAATTATAGGCTGAAAATGTCTTTGCTCTCTTGATCGTAACTATACCCACTTTGATGGGATGCGACAGAGTAAGCACACGGGACAGCAGATAGTTGCAAATTAGGAAAGTTACAGCTAATATAGACTATTTTAATATAGTGCTTCAACACAATTATAATACTCAGTCGTTATCATTACGTCAAATCATGTAATGTACAGTAGTGCACATAACATCTGGGTTTCCCCTATTATTACAGACCATACTGCCCTCTAGTGACAACTTTGTGGGAGTACCCGAACTGGCTGAGCAAGATGTGCAGGATATCATCCAGAAATGGTTTTCCAATGAAAACAAAACGTTGACTGACAATCAGATGCAAGTGCTAGTTAATACCTGCCAGCGATGTCCAATTCCATTATTTTTAAAGATCTCATTTGTCGAATCGTGTCGGTGGTATTCCTATAGTGATATGAATGAGACTATTCTGCAGGAGACTGTCCGTGACGCCATTATTACTCTGTTTGAACGAATTGAAAAGAACCACGGCTCGATTATGGTTAGCCGGGCACTGGGGTACATTACGGCAGGTAAGACCAAAACTAAAATAAAATAAATAACTAAATAACTAACTAACTAATTCACCCCGACCAAACCTACTGTGTTCCGGGGCGGCAGATTTTTGACAACATCCATCTGGTGCGTGACGTCATAGATTACTGTAATATCAACCAATTGCCACTTGGGATCGTCGCCTTAGACCAGGAAAAGGCTTTCGATCGCATCAACCACGACTACCTTTTCAAAACCCTAGAAGCGTTCGGCTATGGAGATCAATTTTGTAAGTACATTCAACTAATCTACTCTAGT